GCTCGAGACGGTTTTCTTCAGCTCGTCAAACATGGAACGAGGAGAGATGCACCCCATGGCCAACCATGGCGATATCTTGCACGAGAAATTTGAGCCATACACGCTGTTACTGTTGTTGCCCTTCGATTGAGCCTTGCACTCTGCTGCAAAGTTCTGTATCCTCTCCATTGCCTCTGTCTCTCCTCCCACCATTGCAGGTCTCCCCTCCTGCCATAAAGAAACCTTTAAACAATGAAACAGAAGAATATGTGGAAAAGGAAACAGTGGTAAACTGGATTTGTGCTGAAGGAGAAGATCCAGATCTCTTCTTCCTTCCCGACTAGCCCACAGACCCTCTGCAGGTAGGGTTTGATAAGATCGTTTACAGTCAATTATAAATTGGACTCGATCCGAAGAATCAGGAGATATGTACATAACACTTTCTCCATAAGAATCATGTCAACCTCCAAGATTTTAGGCAGCGGGTGTGTGTTCACATGGAATTCGGATCTATTCACTTATGCGAATTCACACCTTTCTGGTCACCCTGGAAGCATCTAACAAGTTTCCACCTCTCTGCTTTTCTCTATGGATTCTTCAAGCACATGTCATACCCTAAACCCTAGAAATCATGAACTAACGCACCCTAAACCACCATTGCAGAGAAACCAAAGGTGGCATCTACCGAACATTAGATAAACACGGCATTCACGGGCAAAAGGGATAATCCCGAACCTGACTCGTTCTAACGGTCGGATTGATCCCGAGATCCACCAGAGAAGGAATATCGCCGGGTTCTACGTCTCCCTGAGAAGGCAAACCCTTCAACTGATCCAAAGCCGACATCAGCTGCCGAATCTCCAGACCCTTGACTTTATCCCTGAATGCACCGTAATTCGTCGGCATTTCGTCTAATTTAAACGGCAAATCGTCAATGTGATACAGCGTGCTTCCCCAGAAGTACTTCACTTCGACGCCTTCCTCCTTCATTGCCGCTTCTATCCTCTCCTCCGACTTCACCTCGTCGCGAGACGCTTCACGGTGGGCGTACACCGCGTCCGCTCCTACCGCCTTAGCCAATTCGACCAAAACGGACTCTGGTTTCCCGACACGAACGACGAGATCCGACCCTCTCGCTTGGAGATTCTTCCGGAGGTTGGAGACGGACTCGATCAGGAACTGGGCACGAAACGGCCCCGTCTTGTCGAACCCGGATGAGGATTTGCCATAATCTCTGGGGTCGAAGCAGTAGACGGGCAAAACGGAAACGCACTCGTCGTTGGCGGAGTTGAGACATTCGTTGTCGTGGACGCGGAGGTCATTGCGGAACCAGACGACAGCTGTGCGGCGGAGAGCAGCGGCGGAGGAAGGATCGACGGGGCGGCGAGGGACGAGGGAGAGAGGAGACAGCAGAGGATTGAGGAAGACGGTGGAGTTGAAGGAGATTCTGGAAGGAGAAGGAGAAGGAGCAGTGGAGAGAGAGAGATGGGTAAGAGAAGAGGCTTGCGTAGGGATTTTGACCTTGTGAGAAAATAACTGAGTAAATTTCGGGTGAAGGGAGAACTGGGTGTAGCTGGGGAAGAAGGTGGAGAGGGAGAGAGAGATTGAGGCAAAGGGTAAAAAAGGAGAAGAAGGGTCAATGGCGAGTGGGTCATGTTCTTCTGGGGATTTGGTCTCCGCGTTTAGGGTGTGAGCTATTCTCCTCAAGGCAGATTTTTTTCAGGCGAACGGGTGAGTGAGTGTGCCTGAGAGAGAAGAACAGGATGGATGATAAGCCGTCGTCGATTCTGTTCCTCAAAGTTCATACCTTTTAGCCTTTTCAACAATCCTACTCCTTTATTACATAAAAAAAAACAAAAAACAAAAAACAACTATTATTTTTTAAATGGAGAAAGAAAAAAAAAAG